TATTTCATTTTTTTTTTTTTTCTTTTTCTCATTGTGACATTTTTTAGTCTTGTGATCAAAGAGCAGGACTGACATGGATAACTTCTTAGCATGCCATTGCTTAATATCACTGTTTGCATAGCAATTATTAAAAATCAATTTCAGGCAGCCGCTTGTGGCATATCTCTCCTTATCGCCACTTCCCAAATGGCATTGCTTGGGATCCGCGTGGCGAATTTATCATCACTCTCTCTACAGATAGTAGATTCGATATTGTATCTGCGGATACAGGCCAGCATTTGCGAGGCCTCAACACTCTGAAGATTCCATCCTTCTCCGTTTTAGACGTGCCTGTGCATGCTGGAGTGAGTTATAATCTGAAAACTTCTAAAATTAATGCCACTTGCGAAGAGATTGTAAATTATCCGCTGCCATGGTGGTTTAGGTCTTTTTTTTGGAGTATTTTCAGATCTACAAATTATTTCACGATGACCAGCTGCTGACATATTCTAGAATTCCTGAATTCTCGCCTGATGGTGAATTGTTACTTGCGCCTAGTACGTTTGTTTTTCAAGACTCGGTCCAAAAAAAAATCAATTCAAGGCAAATCGAAAAAATCCCATTTCTTACACTTCAACTGCGTTTTTCTACTGTTATGGCTACAGAGCCTTTTGCATGCAAACTTCTGCTCGAGAAACAGTTTTCCTTTGATTGCCATTTTTTTAGGCTAGGACACAATTTTGTCTTTCAGGTGGACTTTTTCATGCCGGTTCAACAAATATTTATGGAACATACGTCTTCCTACGCTCAGATTTTCATAAGTAGCGTTTGCATATAATTAGCTTTTGCATCTTTTTTTCTTGTAATTACCATCTTTTGAAACGGTTTATCTGTTTTTTTTTTTTTTTTCAGGAGTCGTCCTGTGGCGTTTATTCCATCCACGAAGCCTACATTTCGCGTGGCGTTTTGTCCGCTTTACTTTAAACTTCGAGATCAGGATACCACTGCTTGGGGGTGAGGATCTGGTTGATGAGCAGAAGCTTTTTTCCGTCTTTTTTTTTTCTCTTTTGCCTACTAGTTGTTTTTGTAAATCTTAATCAGTACGGGAATGTTATGGCTGAATTGACATTATGCTAGTACGGAGCGATTTTTCAGATTCCGACATCGAATGGTCTGGGCTGTGCTCACAAAGGACTCGGTGAGCTTTTTTGACAGTCAGAGCTTCAGATGCTTTGCATACATCACCAACATGCACTACGACTGGCTCTGTGATATTGCTTGGACTCACGATGGCAGAGCGTTACTAGTTGCATCGATGGAGGGCTATGTCAGTGTCATCAGGTATGTGCCTTCTAGGTCTTAGTGCTTCGGGGGAACCCGCTTTCATGTAGGAACATCCAGTAGGCTGATACTGAATCTAGTCAGTTGCTTTGTCTTGATCTCGCCTCGCCCGGCATGAATCTAGGCATGGCGCTACCTTGACCAGACACTTCAACTATTTTTTGGCTAATTCGAGTCATTTTCATACATAGAATTTGTTAACTCATTATGATCTGCTTGTTAACGAGGCATACCGATCGGCAGCTTTATTGACTGGGGTTCTTTCACTCGTCTAAATTCAGCGAAACTTACAAAGACCATGTATTTAGCGTATAAGGATGCACAGATTTCTGCAGGTGATATAGTAAGTGGAAAGAAATGGTATGTGCAGTTGCTTTGAACCGTTTTTGCTTCCTCTGCGCGATTACTTTGGAATCCCTCGTATGCGAAAGCAAAACATGGGCAGCGTTTGAAAGGGCTGGAACGGAATGGCGGGAATGGCAACGGAAGCGTCTGGCGTATCTCAGGGACCGCAAAATCAAACTTAAATCCGTTGGAATGAAGCGTCGCTTCGTGTGGAACATTGAGATTTTTAACATTGGATGAAAAATTCGGCGGGCTGCAAAGGTATGAAGCTTTGGCGGCGTGAGGCTGTAGACCAGGACAAGAGAAAAGGAGGTTCGAAGAAGGCTCGCCATGAACGCAGGATTGCGACCTCAAAAGTCTAACTTTTGTAGCTGCAACGTTGATCATTTCTCATGCGTGAGGAAACGGAGATGTCAGTTTACTCCAACCGATTTTTTTTTTTACTTAACGCAGAACTGCATAGGAATAGGCAAAACTGAAAAGACAGTGTGGTACAAACAGAAGCGAAGGAAGCTCTTGCTTTTGTATAAGATTGGAACTTTTCAGATTCAGTGAAGGTGCGTTAGGTGAAGAGTATGTTGGGCCCCTGGTGCGTTTGTCACCGCCTGTTTTTGAGGAGCCCAAGAAACAAAAACGGGGTGAGTAGTTTCTGTCGCTTTCTATCTTTATTTTTTTCGAGAAACCTGAATGCCATAGTAGTCTTTATGCAGCGCCCTTGTTTACAGTCATATTAGATTTCAGGTCGAGGCGGTCAAAAAGCTTCTGGCCCTTCACCACGTCCAGGGTCGGAACAACGATCCAGTTCGCCGCCTAATTCACTTCGCAAATATTTTAAAAGACTCTCTTCAGCAAAATCAGACGCAGACACTCAGACGAGGGAACCAGTAGCTAAAAAGTGAGCCTCTTTTAATGTTCTGTTGAGAAACTGCGTGCATTCGAGCAGCGAATGCCGTAACGAGTTTGTGCTCACGTTTAGGGATTTTTTATTAAATTGTCGGTTTCGATATTTTGTGCGTTTTTTTTAGGATTGTGCTTCTTTTTATGTGGTTTTTTTTCGGTTCTGAATGTTAGATTTAAAAAAAAAAAAGTAAAAAACAGATTTTTTTTTA